AAAAATCGTTGTCTTAGGCCGGCCTACTGCCCAATTCGAGCGCGTGGCAAGATGTGACCGCCTGGCGATCGATATTGCTATGCGCACATCTCGCCACGCGCTTGAATTGGGCGGTAGGCCGGCCTAAGACAACGATTTTTAATAATTAATTACTCGTTAACTATTACGAAAATTGCAAAATGGTACAGGACTTTTTCGTCCATCTCGATCCGTTCTACCTTCTCAAAAATTTTGTCGGATATGGAAAGACTCACCCTGTACATATACGCACACATACATAACTTTCGCGTTGTCGGTAAAACAGACAGACTCCAGCATCCCCTTAAACTGCATGAATTAGCCTTAACAATTTTTTCTCAGAAAATTGTAATTTTTTCTGTTTTTGGGTGGTTTATGTAAGGACTACCTTAAAGTTTATGCATTTTCTTCTTAAAGTTTGCATATTTTCTCAATATGGAAAAGGTAACTAATGCGCAGTCCGTTTCTTTTATGCCTATGGTTTGTAGAATATGTAATATGACATGTGGACAATGATTGTCAATGAAGTTATACCAATATAGCCATTAGCTTAGTTTACATCGTGTGCTTAATATGAATAACAAATAGTAACAACTAATAAACTGGTTCACTCATTGGTCGACTAGTTCAAGTGCTCTATTTCATACGTGGTATCAAGTGCACGATGTAAACCAAGCAATAAAAACATTTCTCCAAAATTTTTGGCGCTTTCTTTAAAACAAAATTTCGCTATTTTTAAATATTATTAAGTAAATATTATTAAGACAAATCTAATGGCAACTCACTTTATTAGCCTTTTTAACCTCTTCGATATAATGCGTCGTCATCAATACGGTGGTGCTTTCCTCCTGTGTTAGTTTGATCAGATAAGCCCAAATGCTGTAAAAAAGAACGTTCGAACATTTACTTAATATTTATTAAGATATTAATAAAAATTTTCTTATATTCTTAATAATTTTGTGCTTATCACGTCTAAAAAAAGGAGCCAATTCTACTTGCTTTTCTCTCAAAATTGGGTCCAAACCTACGGTGGGTTCATCGAGAATTAGAAGTTCGGGCTTATGCATCAATGCGGCGACAAAGGAAACCCTTCTTCGTTGACCTCCACTCATGTTCTTCACCAACTGATTTGCTGGAGGCAGTTGGAACAATTCCGAGAAAAACCTATGTCTCGTTTCTTGGAAATAACATGGATAAACTGGGGTTGTTTAAAATTGACATAGTAGAATATTTTTCGAGCAAGACAAAATTAGAACCGCTTGAAAGACTTACTTAAAAGTAAAAATAAAACTTGTCAGAATTTACATGATATTTTGCGCGCAACAACTACAAGTTTTCTTATCCCATGTACCTATTCGGTATCTTACCGATCTCCTTATCGTCAAGCCCATTGATCCTGCCGAAGTAATAAAGAGCATCGCTTGTAGAAAACAGTTCGACTAAAGAGGTATCCTGCGGCATATAACCCACCCGAGGCCCTGGAATTCCGCAGCCCACACTGACCGGAGATCCCCCCAAGACCCACATCTCTCCACTGTCGAGATAACGTAATCCGACGATACAGGACAACAGGGTTGTCTTGCCACATCCGCTGGCCCCCAACAGCGTGTATCTGTTTGATGAAAATATTTCGTTTACGAGATACTGCTTGGGCCTATGTAAATTTTATATATGTTACATTACACAAAAATTTTTAATAATTGGAATACTATTGCAACAGCAAAATCCGGAGACTAAATCAAGTAAAAAAAGTCCTGTACTACTTTTCCCTCCGACAAACAGTTATTGAGATATCATAAGCTAAATATTGAAAAAGTTATAAATTTTCTCTTGAATATCTCAAAAAGTATTAAGCAAATAAAAAATGTTTCAGACAAAAGTTTATATTAATTGGTAGAATAAGTTAGTATATTAAACCATAGGGATTTTATTTAAAAAATTGAAGATGACCTTCACGTAATCTTCAAGCATGTATTCAAGGTTAAATTCATAACACCATCTTATTTTCCCCTCGAAACCCAACAACTTTTGCTGAGGTCATTTTTTGTTAGCCGTCTTCCCCAAAAAGATATATGCGTGGATCATTTAAAATGTGACACCCTATATACCATTCCCCAAAGAAGTTCCTATTTTACAAACGATGACAATTTAAGCAATTGATGAAGGTACTCGTAAAAGAGCGTGATGGCAGACAGTTCAGGCAATTTCTATCAAAAGATGAAGAAAGTAGTATCAGTTATCCATAAAAGACATGTTAGAT